ATGCTTTTCAATATGCGAAGTGGCAGTAGTGGCTGGATCAGTAGGTACATAAATAACATCATAAATTAGTTATTAAACGATTAGAAATAAATTAAACAACTTTGGAATTTTCAATATCAGTGAGAATAAATAATAATGAAATCACACCATGAAACCTGTTTTGGTTTTTTCCTTCAAAACTAGTTTCACTTTGGATTAAATCATTATAATATTGAGTGTGGAAAGACACTGACCATCCTTTGAGAGTTTTTTTTAAGTATAAAAAAGTCAGCAAAATTAATTATAACAAAAAACGGAAATTTGAGCGAGCACACTTAGTATTTTACTTTTTAGGTCAGTATAGTATTATAGAAAGGCTCCTTACTAATTATTGTTAACAATGTATTGCATAATAATATTTTATGTATTATAAGTGCTCTAGTTTGTTTCGATCACATAATATCATTCATTTAATAAGCAACAGTAAGTAATATAAAATACCGGTTATGCATACATAAAGGCCCATGCCAACCACATGGGTTAGCAGAGATTATATATATTTATACTTTAAAAATTAATATAGGGAAGAGGCGTTAATTTGGAACCTGCTGATAATTTGTCTGAACAGACAACGAAATCTGTTGAAAACCTATGAAATTACGTCGAACTGATGTCATTGAATGTATTAGCTCCACTGGCGTCATTTTTGCATCGAGTTTGGACCTGTTATAAGAAGTTGAAATTTTGTGTCACCTGCAAATGTTTTTTACTTTTATTTCCTAATAGTGTCAAAATTTTTCTTTTTGTCTAAAAGTAAATACAGTAAGTGTTACACGAAGTATATACGCATAACTTTACATTGTCAGAGATAAGTTTTAAGATTTATTTGAACTAGTTTTAGTTTTCGTTCGTTTCGTTCGTCGATTATTTGATAATAAAGTAAGGTTTTAATTTTGGAACCCGATAGGTGCAGGTAATATGGAACCGGGTTCCAACTTACCCGCATTACTTTATTGACCGGGTCTCCTTACAAACAGCAACTTGAGTAGTCAATCAAGTCTATAGCGCAGAGAGGAAGAAGTTGGGGAAGAGGTCGGGGAAGAGTTTGGGGAGGAGCTCGAGGGCGTAGTGGTGGGTAGAGTGTTGCAAAGTCTTCTAGAACTCCTATAAGCGGGGATTCGACCTCTTCGGAATCTTCTGTTTCTTCAGGTGACACTGTAATGTCAGAAAATGTTACCACGCATGTCCAACCCACAAATCAAGTTGACGCTTGTTGCATTTTTGCTCTGAAAATTAATCCAACGATCAACATATAGGTTGTGGGCACATATTGAATGCTCAGGATGTGACGCGCAGTTTAATATTTCTGATTTTTGTGTGTAAATTTATTTCAAACTTGTAATTTGGAGCTCGGGTTCCATAATACCAGCACCAGATCTTTGAACACATTTTTTTTTATTTTTAGAAGAAAGCAATTTTTTTCCTATAATGAGTGATTTTATTTTATAAATTAGTTTCCAACATAAAAGTAAATAAGTTTTTAGCTATAAAGAGGCAGTTTTGTGATGATTAGTCAAATAGTTTTCTTAAAATGAAGAAACAAAGTAGGGTTCTAAATTACCACCCCCTCCTCTACAATTTCACACATGTTTTACCAACATAAATAGGTAATGTTTCACAGCACATACAGCACAAAAATACAAATAGCAATAAATAATGCGGTAATCCAAAGATCGGGTTTAGTGACGTGCATTAGGGAGGCTTATCAGCCCCATTATTCCTAACTGATGAACTGATATAAAAACTGAATTTTAAATGAAAATGTTTTACGGATTTAATTGCTTAATTTGATTTTGAATTTTCGACGTTTTAAACAATATAGCGTATAAAGACAGGCTGTTTTACGTTCTAATGTCAATAAAACCTAATTTTTAGCGTTCCGAATCTTAAAAGGTAAAAAGGGAACCATTATAAGATCACTCTCTTGTGCGTATGTCTGTCCATGTGTCACCACCGATTATCTCAGAAACGTCCACCGGTTAATTAGCAAGTAGAAATTTATACCAGATGCTGAGGTCTGTAGTCAACACGGTAAAAAGATAAGGGCAAATTTAGATTTTTGCGTAAAGTTGTAAGCACCAAAATTTACCTTAAGTTTCAATATTTTTTATTTTTCGTAATTTTCCCTTTACTTTTTGTGCTATTAGACCTTGCTTTTAACCAAGCGGAAGTACCCTATAGGTTTTGGGACGAAACCGTATATAGTTAGTTCCTGTTTATCTACAATCACGAAATTTGGCTATTTATTACAAGGCCTTTATTATTTTCACCTGTCCCGATGTTTAACATCAAATCTTGCAAATGAAATTTGATCCATTTCCGCTTACCGATTGAGCTGAAATTTGACATGGGGGTGATCTGATGCTGGAGCTGGAAGGTGGCCAAAGAAACTTCGGAATTAAATGTGACAATCTAGACGAATTTGGACTCATTTGAATCGCCTTGGCGATTAGATTATCTTTCAATCGTAACCAGGATCTAATGATGGATCTCGAAGGTGGTAATAGGAACTCTGTAATGAAACGATGCTAAAATGTTTTTGTAAAGGTATGACATTTTTCTTATCAGGTTTAAATTTTTATTTTCAAATCTTTAGTTCTATTTATTGATTGAATGAACATCAAAAAACCTAGTTGTTAAAAAGTTTTTTCTTTTAATTTTATTTTTAACTAGCGACCCTCCCCGGCTTCGCACGGGTGCAATGTCTTATACATATGAACCTTCCTCTTAAATTACTCTATGTAGTAAAAAAAACGCATCAAGATCCGTTGTGTAGTTTTAAAGATCTAAGCATACATAGAGACAGACAGACAGCGGGACGACTTTGTTTTATAATATGTAGTGATGCACAGCAAAGAGACGTTCACATTTCAAGTGACATTTTACCACAGTCACTCACTCGTTTTACCTTCCCGGAACCCCTCTACTAACACTTAAACTTTATGGTATGGTATTAAAGTTCAAATTGACTTAAGTATTATTACGAATCTTTTGTACAGGAATATAGAAAAGTGTTGTTTTTAGACTTTTTCAGGCAATTTTTTAAATTTTTATCTCCGTAAGAACCATCTTCTTACTTCAAGGAATATATAATAAAAGAATTAGCGAAATCGGTCCAGCCGTTCTCGCGTGATGGCGTGACCAAGGGAAGTGGGGATTCATTTTTATCTTATATATAAAATTCTCGTGTCACAATGTTAGTTACCTTACACCTCCGAAACGGCTTTACTGATTTGTACCAAATTTTATATGCATATTCAGTAGGTCTGAGAATCGGCTACTATCTATTTTTCATACCCCTAAGTGATAAGGGTTGTTCACCCTTAACATTTTTTAAAAATTTTTATTAAAAGTTTTTATTTTTTTATGATACAGCATACAAAAACACATACAACCCTAAATTTTCACCCCTGTACGCAGACGCAGTCGCGGGCAGCAGCTAGTATATATATTGATAGGGACTATAGACCCCAGTATATGGTATAAGAACTTGCTAGGTCCAACAGTTTCTGAGAAAATCATAAGTGAAATTTTAATGATGACCGTATAAAGTGTAGGTACGCAACCCTCGGCGCACGAGTTCGACTCGCACTTGACCGGTGTTTTATTTTATATTAGCTGCTGCCCGCGACTACGTCTGCGTAGAAAAGGCTGAAGGCGTAACATTCAGACTGAAAGACAGATATACATAACATATGTATATAAATTATAGCCTATGTCTTATTATGCTACATAAGCTATATTATTGTAAACTTTCTTTAAAATCCATTCAGCAGTATTTGCGTGAAAGAGTAACAAACATCCATCCATACTTACAAACTTTCGCCTTTATAATATTAGTAAGGAAGTAAGGATGTGCTAGTCTCTACATTTAAAATGCAATTTAAAGTAGATAAAACTGTCTCAAAATGAGATAACAAGAAAGTAGAAAAGACTTCGAGATTTTCACGGGGTAAGGATGTCGACCGCTTATCTAAGTGGTGAAATTGTCTGAACGCGATATCCGGAAGGCCCAGGTTCGAATCCTGGCAGTGACCAAATTTTTTGCAACAGTTTTATCTACAAATTTATGAATAAAACTTTCGCGTTTTGTCTGGCGAGCTAGTCTGGGGCCTACTTTTTTAATAGTTCACAAAGAATTTGCAACCAGTCAGATTTTGTTGATATCGGGTGAACCGGCTGCTCGCTTGCAAACTATTTACATAAAAATAAATAAAAAACTTAACCTGTTTGAAACGTGAATAAAGTGCAATGTAGATACGATACGGATAGCCTTCTTTCCCATATACTTATGTAAAATAATTCTTATAATTGTTAATTAAACGTTATTTCCTATTAAACCTTTTACAAGCAACATTTGTCAATATCAATCAATTTGCCTGCACAGTTGATTAAATAAATGGTGCAAAAAATATATATAACTTCGCAGTTAGCTATGTCTTACCCGCAGTTAATAAGTTCGGTTTTATAAAGTTCTGAGGAAAAACGGGGAAATATAAATACATAATTATAGTATTTCCTTATTCTTTTATTATTTACTCAATAGCTTAAATATCTAAAAGTTTGTAATAATTTACATACAAAAACTATAGGGCAGATGTTTTGATCACATTCATCGATATTCTCCGCAGCATGTACAACAAACAAGTCAATTTTTTTATTAAGGAAAAACAAAACAGACTTCGAATATCTCGCTCCGTATTCATTTTATAATTGATTTTCATAAGTTCCCTTCGTATCTCCGGAGCCCAAGACCAATGAAATTAACATGATACCACGTGGGAAGCACGAGCTTTCAAATAAAAAAAGAACCATCACAATCGATTCACTCAGTCGAAAGTTCTGAGGTAACAAACATAAAAAATAAAAAAAATACAGTCAAATTGAGAACCTCCTCAGTTTTTGAACTAGGTTGATAACTATTCTGCGTCGCTAGACATATCAAAGAACAGAATGAATTATAATTGGCAGGCCGTTCCTTCGATCGCTTCAGTTGTATTAAAACTGAATATCCTGTAATTAACAACATTGGGGTCGAGCGACCTATAAAGGAAACGTGGAAGTTTATCGGTTAAAACCCACATCGTACCCTCTTCGTCCACCTGAAAAATAAATTTAATATGATCAGTGAAGCGATTGGCATAGAATTTCAATTGAAAAGACACGTCGACCTAATTGTAATATGCACTAGTCTTATACTTGCTTAGCTAGCTTATAAATCATTATTTTTATTAAATAGTAAAGTAATTTGACTCGGCGTGCGAAAGTCAAGTTACAATTAAAATGTTTAAATTTTGTGATTATACTATCCTATAATTTTATGAATTCAAAAATCATTCAACTTGGGTGATCACACAAAACATTCGTTTGATTTAATGTTTTTCGAAACAATTGTACACAGTTTGCAGGTAGAATGAAATTATTTAAAGAAAATAGAATAAATTCCCACCTGACTTCTTATAAGACAAGTAAATACATGCATAATTTTGGCAATTAAGTCGAGATACATATTATGATGTGTGACCAAATCCAACACCAAAAAATCCCAAACCACGTCAAAAAATGACTGTGTCTCGACTCGAGTGATCAGAATGTTTAAATTAATCTCAGTTATAAAACTTTAACCGTTTATCAATACATAAATACTGAACATTAAAAGAACATTGTTTGCGATTACTATTGATTTTGCGATTAAAATGTGAAAAAATTTAAGTGAAAGATTTTATTAATATGATATATGCAAATAGTTCGAGCTCATGAAAATATGTTGAAAAGTACCTTAAGGTCGTTAGGGAATTCGAACAATTCGGCGTCACTGAAGAGTAACGGATTGTTTTCCGGTGTGTAAGGTTTTTGAGAATTCCAACATCCAAAGCCATCGCGATTGACCTGAAATATAAATAATAATAGTTCAGTTAATAAATAATCCCCATAAGTAAGACATACTCATAAGTAATATCCTCAAAAAAGCGTGGACAAAGTTAAAACAATGTATTTCAGATTGAATTTTAGATAAAGCAATTCAGCTTTTCTAAACTGGTGCTAATACAAACAGTCAGACAACATTTAATGATATGCTATACAGGAAATCTTTATTAGCCGGTTCGCCGCCGTATAACTGCTTTATTTGTTAAAATTACGCAATACATTTATTATACATTGCAGCAATTGGATTACCTAATTTTCTAAACTTCGACTGAAAGACTCACAGACATGTCAAAGTCATATGCCTATTTAATACAAATTTATCCACTCAACACATAAAAATGGTCACAAGCCTACCTTTCAACTTTACTCTATTAAGGAAATTGTATTACTTTAAATAAATATTTCAAATCTTTTAACGGCAAGTGAACAATCATCCCTATGCCTACTGAGAACGCGGCGACAAATCACTGATAGTATGATTTGCCCTTAATTTAAATATTGTACTAAATTAAAATCTATGATGGCTATAATCAGTTAAACGTGTATATTTGACTTAAAATATAGGTCGAAAAAGCCCTTAACTCAAGTATCTCGGCTACATCATATCAATAAAATATTTCGAAAAAAATGCCTAGAAACAAATACCTACTACCATTTACCTAGAAACAGAGATTAAGACGATTCTAATATAAATATACAATATAGGAAGACATCATTTAGATCATCTATGATTACTTATTATTACTTATTATCTTAATAACATCGTATAGGATCTGTAATTACTTCCAATGAAACATCGGCGCAGTAATTTTTAAAATCAATTTCGTTCTAACCGCAGTGATTTCTCATTGAAACAAGTTTTGGTGCAAATATTCCAACGTAACCTTGGAATCCAAGTGTTTTAAATATCTGTGGTAATAACAGCCTGATGCTTTATATTTACGAATTCGTTTGCTATCACACATTTTTTTTTATTTCAAACGAAATTAAACAACAAATGTAATAATTTTAGTTAAATACAACATAAATATTGCGTTTTGTACAGGATACATATTTTTATGTAATATGCATTAATTAAGAGAAAAAAAAATATTTTTTCTTGACTTTGATAAAAGCTCTAAAAAATCTTCTTATATTATAGAAGAAACATAACAATATTGAATGAAGATTACGACACTAATTGTAAAGACGGAATGTAAATGTGAAAGGAAATTGTTCAGAGCAGTTATAACGTCTTTAATATTTGTAACCCTAAATGGTAGATTTCGTTGAACAGAGGTGAATATTTTGTGTAAAATCTTAAAATGTTTTTACAATAATAGCATTATAAAGGATATGTGACTACTTTTTGTTTGTACAAAAACTGTAGTATCTACATTTTAAAATGATCGGATAAATCTTAATGAATGCACATAAAAATATAGAGTCGAAAAAACTTGAGTTGGATAAAAATTCGCTTCAACAAAATTTACCTCATCCTAGGCAAGTTAAACAAAACGGGAAAAAGCCATTAGAGATGAGAGCGACGAAATATGTAAAATATAAATATTATTATTTAAGAAATCTGTATACTTTGCTTGGAGTTATTGAGGTTCGATGAAAATTTACCTGTGTATAAAACAACACGTGGTTGCTCTCATCGTAGAAACTTGCAGAGGCTTGAGTGTTGTTTCCTCGATCGCCTAATAACTGTAAAAAATATAGAACATTATTATATTACTTTACGTCGTATATTTGACACAATAGTCATTAGCTTAGTTGTGGGGTTTCCTTTATTATTGTAGTTTGTCATTATTTTAATGAACGTTCATGACCGTTTTGACCTATATCCGATTGCCACTTGGGAGGTAAATAAAGAATTGAACATGTGATAACGCGACAATATTAGTGAAAGATAGTACTAAACGTATTTCATCAACTTAAAGAAGCATTTTTTAAACAAATATGTCACTAAATACGCCACATTTACCAACTCATGAATTGAAATCACTTTCCTGACAATAGGAAAAATCCAAAATGTTTACATGGGATATATAAGGACTGCACGGTGGTAGGGTCACGGAACAGCCTCGGCTGTTGCACGAATGGGCAGGCCCGTCCGGGTAAATACCTCACAGAAGATCAGCGTAAAGTGAAAGTATGACAAATACTTTCACGTTTCGTTTGGTGAGTGAGGTAGCCCAAGCCCAATTTTCAAAAGGTTGTCAACGCCTCTGTAGCAGATATCCATGGGTGGCGGTATTCACTTACCATCAGGTGAACCGTCTGCTCGTTTGGCAACACAAAAAAAATTATAACATACGAATGGATAAACGATACTACTAACATACTCTAACTAAAGTATAACGCATAAATGGATGTGAATTCTTTACTTAAAAGAATTAGGTATACTTATTGTATAATTAAATAAAATTACACATTATTCCTTGTACGTCAAATATTTGTTATAAAACAAGTTTCGTATAATCCTCCCAAACTAAAGAGACTATAATTTTTAATGCTATACAAATAATGTAAAAAATATTCATATTCTTTGCGAAACCATACTTTCCAGTTTGAGATTTTATACTTGTTATCCTCGACAACAATAGGTTGCACAATCACTTATGACTTTGTATCTCGATTGAAGACGTTGCTGATGCGTAATAGTCTTTGTATTGTAAAAGAAAAAACACTGCACTCGACAGAATTATTGCCCCTACCGTTAAATGAGAACAAAATATGACTTCGCATGAACAGACAAAGATCATGATTAGTTATCATCTCTCTCATCTAAAACATGTTGGTAACGAAACAACATACTAGAGTTCAAAAACAACAAAATTAGAACGAATTAATCCTAAATAATTATACATTAGTAATAAATCTTACGACTCCGATTAGGATAAAAGTTACAGATGTTATGTTGTAGATTCCGGCCGGTTTCAATATTCTATCTATCTGTAGATTTGGTTACTAGCTATATATATTGGACATTAGTTCGATAATACTTACGTCAAAATTCTATCTCCAGTAACCAAATCTACAGATAGATAGAATATTAAATCCGGCCGTTAACGGTAATCTCCTATGTCGTAAGCCTTATGATAGACACCTTAAAGTCATTGAACGCCTCCGATTTATCGATGTGTGTATAATTGCGTAGAAGCTCGGTGGACACGCAAAACTCCTTAGTGCTGGAGAATGCGTGGAAGAACATGGTGCGGTAGCTGTGAAACAAGCAACAAGCAACAAAATAAACATTAAATTTAAACAAAGTGTAAGTACTCCAGTAGATCGCATAACGTAAACTGTCTATTTATTTTAATTACAAACCCTATAATTCAAACAGAAATTGTAACATACTTTGATCGCAAAGAATAAAAATTATATGGGTATAAGATAACCTAAAATATAATAAAATGAAAAAACATATTTCTATATTTCGTGGTTATATATTGGAATTAACAAATGCATTGCCAAATCGATATACAATGCAACACAGGTACTCTACAACCTCGTGCTTGGACAATAAATACAATGAGGTCAATGTCGGTTTACGAGAAAGAGTCTAAAGTGGCTTAAATGAAGCGCTAACCCTATTTAAATCAAATTAGAAGTACCAAAAATATATAAATTATTACAGATCTGCTTGATTTACCAATTTGTCCCAAGTTGGTAAAGAAGGATTCTATGAGAGAAAACATGTAAGTTTACAATCTACTAGGTCAGCATACTATTTCTAATTGATTGGTTTAGAAACACAAACAGCGGCTCCTTTGTATTCACTGTTTGTAGAACGTAACCCGGTTGTTACATTCAATATGCACAAAACACATCAAGGTCCACTAATACGTGATCGGCTCACCCGTTCTCTCTTGGCTCAGACAGCGCCAGGCCGAACACACCGTCCGTCCAGTGGAATTCAATTCCGCCGACATTGTACGATCCGGCCAACGGCTCGAAGTGGAAATAGTGATGCGCCACTCGCCAAGAGTCGTCCTGTTTCAGACTGTACACAACAACGCCGTATCCTCCCAAATCCGGTACGTAAGCGAACGCATTGTCGCAAGTATTTTTGTCCACATCAACCACCTGCGAAACAATATGATTGACTTAATTCAATTAATTTTATTGATTTCCTATTCCAAATATAATTATCAAATTTATCTTTTGTTGCAATTACCAAATATAAGTATAAGATTGCAAAGGTCGCATGACTACCTCTACTTTTTCTTTTATATTCTTTTTCTTTTATATTCTATTCATACATATGTATATTCCTATTCACGCTCTCTTTAAGATAGCGCCATCTTTATTAATACTCAATTTGGGGTCCTATGTTGTATTGTAAATAGTTTAAAAAAAGCTAGAGTATTAGATATTTTAGATGAATTAACTCTCCTACGTGCTTTAACAATTCAATAAAATAAATTCAGCCCTATTTTATATAAGATTTTCAGTTAGATTATGAAAAAGAATTAACACGGATAGAAATAGGGTTTCGCGTGATGTTTAGTATAGTTTGCAAAATACGAACTGTATACTAAACGATTTTTTTAATTGGACTATGCCACTATTAGGTGGGATGTTCGAATTGCGAAGTATCATTTTGGGTCTCAATACAACTTTCCTCTCTACTGATTTCTTAAAATGTCACCGACTCACTGTGTCAGCTGGTATCAACAAATGTTCTTACGCATTTAATAAACCCCGATATTAGTCAGGGTATTTATTAAGCGTAAGATATTTATATCGTATAATAATTGATATGCAGACAGATATGCACAGGAATATTGATGTGAATCCAAAACTTACGACATTAGCGAAGAATGAATCTTCTTTCATATCGCTAACTTTGAAGAAATATCTATGCAGCAATTGGTCGGTGTTTAAGTCGAATATGACTAACGATGGGCCGGCAACTTGATTCGCTGCTCCTGTATTTGAATAATATTCATTATCATCACTATACCAGAATACAACACAGATTTACATTCTATAAGTTTGCTGTGTGGCGTTCTATTATTATAAAAATAAATGACTATTTAAACCATGTTATCACCCGTATCTATCAACAATCGTTCTCTTTAATATAACGACAAGTATCAAAAAACCGTTACACAAATATGAAATTTAAAAAAGAAATTTGATCGATCGCTCCATAGATGTATTTACATCGCTGACAGCGTTCTTTGTCAAAATATTGTATTTACTGTTTACTCAAATAAAACGGTAACAGCACTAATGGACTTGTTATTTGTCTTACGGCATCAAGGAGGACTACTGTAAATTTACAAAAGAGACCAGAAGTATGAACTTTAAAAACGTATTTTTTACACTTTTCAAAGATTGCAACAACATAAGTAGTTCGTTGCTAAATAGTCCGTATAAATTAACCTCTTTAATTATAATATATGTGTTATCACAAAAGAATCAAGTGCATTCATATACCAGAGTCAATTATTTGAAATATAATTTTGTAATCCAACAGAAAACATAAGCAACATACAACAACTTAATAGCATGTAGATAAAACTGTGCTTAGCTATAAAACTAAGAGGTCAATCGCTTTTCGAAAATTCAATCGTAATTTCTACAACTTTTTTTGCGGGTAATCCAGAAAACGTAGGTTCGAATCCAAGCAACTGCGAAAAATTTTACAATAGTTTTATCGACACATTTTTAAATTTCAAAGTGCTGAGACTTATTGTATGGGAAAGACTAATTTAAAATATAACATACAAAAAATATATTTGGTGCAAACTTCAACAACAACACAAAGAAATTGCTGAATTTTATAAAAGCGCCTAAAGCAAACAAATTAATTTTGAATCACTAATTTGAATTATCAGTTAATACGATAATATTATTAGGAGATTTGTTAACTTATTTCAATGCAGATTAAATAAATGATATAAAAGTAGAGTTAGTCGTCGTAGAGTTAAACGAAATGGGTAATCTTAAATTAAAGACGATATCAGTAAGGTTTAGTAAGGTAAAAAGCCAAATAATGTGTATACAATTATTTCGTCCTGCATAAAGCAACATAGTGGTCGTCATCCCATACATTTAACATTTTTTTAGCTCTATTTATGCTATTAATACCCATTTGTGGTTTATTTTCTCATTTGTCATTTATTCCTTTAGAAATCTTATGTTGGATTAGAGATTTCTACATATGACAAAGGTCAACAGGCACGATAGTTAAAAACTCATTTAACTCACAAATGTTAACCAAACAAGCTCTGGTTCAAGAATGAAGCAGGAAACAGTATTATACCACTCACCGTAAATATCGGCCAATCCGGAATCCAAAACCCACAGACGGTCGCATGGATCGACAAAAATTCTGAACACGGAAACTATAGAGCTGTTGGATGGCAAAGCAGATGCTGTATCTGGCACCAGGTTGTCTTTAAGCGACGGATAGGGCTTCAATGGCTGATCGTCGGGACCGTCCAGATCGACGTAATTGAGCGAGGAAGCCACGCCGCTCTTCCATCGAGGGACTGTGACGAATATCTTGTTCTTCCAGCGCCCAAGACCCAGGGGAAGATTGTTGGCGGGAACGAACTGCTTAACGCTTATGGCGTTTTCCCTTTGCTCCGGCGATTCCCAGGTGTAGTCGACTTCCTTCCAAGCGAAACGCAGCTTTGGTGTGGCAGCTTCACACACGGTGAGCGCCGAAAGCGCCATGATGATTGTGATAGCCCGCATCGTGCTATCTGTTGTGTAAGAAAGCAAAATCATCTTAATTAGAAGAAGTCAACATTTGAAATAAGTTTTTTATTTTTATGGTTCTTTGCACAGGCGCAAATATTAAGCATTGTTAAATAGAACTTTTCTCGGAGTTTATAACATTTTACTTATTTTTAAAATAAATTTTAATAATTATTACAGCATCCGTGCTAACGAAAAGGACTTCATATATAACAGAACATAAATAACAAAAATATTGTAAAACTATTAATGTACGAAGTATACATACTCTAGGTTTTAAGTTCTGGTCAATTCTTATTTAAATTAAAAAGGCAGGATAGATGAGTTAAAACAGATTTGAGCCAAATGTAAGTTATATAATCTATTAAGTATAATGAGACGGAGCGCCGTAAGACAACAATAAGCATTGCTCACGTTTTTACGGATGAATTTATTATTACATGGCAACTAGATGGTAATCCCATCCCACAAGTCTTACTTATCTGCTATCTTATTATGACTTTGGATTGCTTGGGAACTGTAACGTGATGTTGCGCAACCCAATTTAATGAACTCTGAAGTTAACGATATACGATTTATAGCTTCATTATTTTTGTTTGATAGTTACAATACAAGTGAACCATTCGTAAATTATTCCTCTAATAAATGACGTTCCTTTTAAAGGCCATGTAAAGACATCGTTGGAAATTGTGCCTGCAAAACGGCTTTCACGACAAGATCTTATTGCATTTTTTTTGTGTTATCTCTGTTGTGTTTACTTAACGTGTAAGGAAGACTGCATTCTTAACATGAAAGGTCAATATTAACTGTCACTTTACAGAGGGTATTTGGACGTAGTCCCACCATGGGACCACGCTGCGGACTTCACATATCTTCGAAATATTTTTTTGTCATTATTTTGAAATTATGCAGGTTTCTAAACGACGTTTTGCCTTCACCGCTAAGCACGAGATAAGTCATAACTGAAAATTATCGAATTCATTGGTGCCGGCACCGGGAACCGAACTCAGGTTGCTCGAGTATATTGAATAAAAAGCCAGCGCCCGGAAAATGATACGTGATACGTATCATAAGGTGAATAAAATGTAACATTTAATTTTTTATGAAATTAACAATTAATTAATGAATTTATCCATCCAAAAAAACGTTTTGAAATGGCTAAAGGGGCTTTAGTAGAAAAAAAAGAAGAAATATGATACTAATCAATGTTTTCCTTTTTACCAATGGAGATATTGTAATATAATCTACGTTTCTATTGCAATACTCCGATTGGGTTTTTGGTTTTCCAATTGAGAATCGAAACATTAGCCTTATTTCAAACAATTCTCTTATAAAATATTCCAACAAAGAAACTTAAAAACATTCATTTGAAGACCAAGACTGATTGGTACAAAATAATCATAATTTTGGACGAATTTCGAAATGTTTTACTAAGGCTTAAAAATGTGAAACTATAAATATATGTTTATCAGACATTTTTATTTAACGGGTATGGTGGCGAAAACTTAAATATAAGTACAGGTAATAGACCATAATTTCCTAAGTTCAATAACAGAATTTGTAATGTACAAAGTCTATAGATTTCTATTAATGGCTTAACGTAAAACATGCTCAACGAACTGTTAAGAACGTAAAGCCATTAAGGGCTAATATGTTACGGAAATCGTTTATAAAATGATTCAATCTTAATAAATAATCGCATAACTCAAGAATGGCTGGACCAATTCGGCTTATTTTTTTTTGTATGTTCCTTAAGGTCCACGGAAGGTCTAAATATTATGAAAAAAAAAATAATGAAGTCTGTCCGGGCAGCTAGTTGTTAATACATGTATCTTTATACAATTTTTTATGCGAGAAGGTAGCAAGCGAAGTCTTGTTCAAGAAATGATAATGAATAAAAAGGTTTACAATATTTTAATTCGCACCGTGCATAGAATAACGTTCACATAGAACGAATTTGATTTTATCGTCGGATAGTCTTAATTATTGTCTACGCTTTCAGATAACATTTTAATTTTTTTCTTCTGACTTATAGATATTTAGATTCAGAATAGAACAACGTTCTATCTGATTTGTTTTTGTTTCGAAAATACTGACTGATAAAGAAATTCGTACGTTTAGACACTGTTTTTTTGTACTGACTAGACTAACCTTACTAATTTAATAGACATGTAATATACATAGTGCAATATACTGTATTAGATTCAATTGATAATTATTGCACAGTCTCCCACTTTTTTATAATATTTCGTTGAAAACAGTGCTCATGCGTCTATGTCATGCATACTTTCTGAGTTTTTAATAGACCAACGTTATAAATAAACGTATGACCTTTCATTTTTTGGAATGTTCCGTTGAACAACGTTATAATTATATGTGATCTTGTGACCTATTAGTTTTTGCCATTTTCCGTAGGAAAACGTCACTATTACAAATGAAACCTCTTATTTCCTAAATTTATATATTTATTTATTCAAAAAGTATACTGTTTGTTTATATACCTAATCATATTACAAACCCCAAAAAAATAGCAACTGCTATGTATAAGAAAATTATAGCCAATATAAAAAAAAATTGTTTTGGCCGTCCTGAACAATTACAATTTTCCAGATGTGACGTTGTTCTACGCAGGGTGCGAATTAAAGTAACAATTGACAATTATAAAAGCTCGACGAAAAAAATAAACTATCTGACCTGTTTACTTTTAAAGACGGGAAACGGTCAATCATTTTATTATGCCACTATTTAATGTAGAAAGTAGTTGTATATAACGTTACTAGTCTTCCGAAGACCTTTATATGACTCAAAGTGGATTGTGGCTAGTCATGGCTTTTTGCCGCGTTTACCAAGGTCTGCCGCTATACGAATGCACTGAATGAATGGGCATAGCAGCCAATACAAACCGATTAAAGCCTAATACGTATTAATAAAATTGACGATTTTCAATTACTTCCAATTTCAATGAGCATTTAGCAAAATCTGTTTGAAGTTAAATATAAAATTTTGTTTTTAATTACATTCAATATAACTGAATGTATGAAACAATCACCTTTTGTTTATAATTCATACCTGTTACAGTAAATTCAACCTTTCCGATATGAAGCAGAATGTTTGACAAAAACACGAGTTCAATCTGAGTTCATGCAATCTATAAAGTTTTTTGTAGTTAATTTTAATCAAGTTAATTGAAAGATCGGGAAGGCGAAAAGTCAAAATAGAGAAAGTTTTGAAATGTTTAAAATTTATACAAGTAACAAAACTAAATATAAAAGCCGTACAAAGAGAAAAGTTAAACTTACGTGGGAGTTATCGAGATGAAGGATCGCGCAAGGTCAGTCCGCGACCGTTCGAACGGGGCCGCAGTGATAGACTAAACAGTTCGCGGTGTCACCAGTCTTTATATATTCAGTGCAAATTCACCAAAGTACAATATCCATTGTTTATTATTTGAAAATCCGACATGTCAACGGTTATCCCCATTCTACTACGTGCCTAATTTTGTTCGCACAGACCGTCAACAATTTCAATAAAAATTACGCTGTTTCTTTTTCGCATGTGCCAGTTTATCACATCACTATAGTGATGCACTTTCTGTTAGAATGACTTCCTGTTATGTGAGAATATACATTTAGAAATATTTTAGGTGACGATCACTACGTATTCGAACGAAGACAGGAATCAGCCTTTGAAATGTTTGATGATCTTGAACAATATTTGGCCATGTTTGGTCACAATTACTTTAATTTTTGTCAATTTTTTAGTAAAGTAACAGCCTATGCATATCATACTGCTGGGCAAAGCCCTCCTCTTTTACAGAGAGTATCAAGACATAGTCCACCACGCGACCCCACTGCGGATTGGCGAACTTCACATATTTTCGAAATATCTTTTTTGTTATTATTTCGAAAATATGCAGGTTCCCTCATGATGTTTTCCTTCACCGTTGAGCACGTGATAAAGTCAGCACTTTAAATTTCATTGGTGTTGGCACCCGGGATCGAACTCAGTTTGCTCGAATATATTGAATTAAAGGCGAGCGCCAGGACACTGAGCTATCACATTTATTTTAAAAAACCTGTATTTTGTATTAATATTTAAATACATTGCAATTATGTTTAGTGATGCTCTAAGTAAACAAATAAATAAGTTAATGGCAAAGAAAGTTCATAAATGAACTAGGCTTGATAATCACGTCTCGAATCTTTTAACTCAAACAGGAGAACGTTAAGGCTGTCCAAACAATATAATCAATAATCGGGTGACTGACCTCAAAAGACCATATTTTCAACCAGCCTCAAACTTCAACAATTCAACAATTTTCAACGTTCTCATTTCGGTGGTTTTCTTTTTTATGTTTTTTACATCGGAATATATATAATATATATCTCCCATATTAATTTCATTGCTACCGGACCTTGGACTCCGGTGATAAATTAGAGAACTCCTCAAAATCAAATAGAAATGAATAGTACGATCCGCGCCTTATCGAAGTCAGTTTTTTTTAAATAACATAGCCCTTACTTTAGGATAACATTATCCTCTGTTGTAAGGACGTTTAACAAACATAAATTTCATGCAGACAAACACCCAGTTGCGAAACAACCGTCTGTGGGTCACGCAAATAGTTGTCCCGTGTGGGAATCGAACCCACGACCCCCGACGCCGAAGCCAATATAGGTTGGCAACTGCGCCACGGATTCATCATATTTTGTCAGTAAAAATGTACTTGTAGTGTCAATAATGAAATAGCGGAGTACACAAATGCGACACGGTGTTGCAAATTCGGCGCAGGTTCAATTCAAGGCCCGCCCAAGCTACCGACGCATCCGTTTTTCATTCATACGTTTAATGTGCTTGTCCGTCAATTGATTGCATAGGTAGGTGCGTAAGGTTTAACACATTGCGAAATGTCAGCGTGATAATCACGTGCGGATTTCAAAATTCGTACGATACATTTGTTATATAAATACATCACTTATTGTGAATTGATTCGAATA